AGATAACAGAAACGGCAAAGGAGGTTGAGTTCATTCAGTGACTGGGATAATTGGGATGGGAGTGTCAGAGACAGTGCGATTGGCACAGGACAGAGCGGAGTTTAGGGCTGTTGTACATAGGGTCACTATTCGTCGCAGGCGACTCGACGGCACATAAGAACAATAATAACATAATTTTGAAAACTTGTTTTATAATTATTTATTTACAAAGTTTTAATACATTATTTTTCACACTGGATCTTTCCTAGGCAATAATACATTTTTTAAATAGCTTGACCCCTGCTTGCTTGTGTATTGATTTTGGATCAAGTACAATAAAATCATTAATTTTAATCTTTTCTCCATCTATCATGAGATTGATTAACGGTCCTGTGGTCAGGGTTTTTGTCCTCTTGATGTTGAGATGTAATCCATCATCTAAGGCTGTAGTCTTTGATCCTTTGCAGTAAGGGCTCCATGTCTTCCTCACTTTCCTGAAGCAAGGCTGTGTCATCTGCATAATACAGGTTAGTGATGAGTCTTTCTCCAAACCTGATGCTACATTCTTCTTCATATAATCCAGTTTCTTGAACAATTTGCTCAGCCTACAGACTAAATATGTATGGAGAAAGGATGCAACCTTGCCACAGACTTTTCCTGATTTTAACCATGTTGTTGTTGTTGTTATTAAGTGGCGTCGAGTCGTAGCGACCCTATGGAACAAAAGACCTGAACACTGTTCTCCATCAGGATCAAGGTGAAAAGAGAACCCCATGCGGGAGCTGCGCATCCGCAAGCTCTGCCTCAACATCTGTGTACGAGAGTGGATACTGGCTGACCCGGGCCACCAAGGTGTTGGGGCAGCTCACAGCCCAGACTCCCGTGTTCTCCAAAGCGAGAGGGACCGTCAGATCCTTTGGCAGTAGGAGAAATGAAAAAAATTGCTGTCCACAGCACAGTCCGAGGGGCGAAGGCAGACGAAATTTTGGAGAAAGGTCTAAAGGTGCGGGAATACAAGTTAAGAAAAAAGAACTTCTCAGATACTGGAAACTTTGGTTTTGGGATCCAGCAGCACATTCATCTTGGGATCAAATATGACCCCAGCATTGGTATCTACGGCCTGGACTTCTTTGTGGTGCTAGGTAGACCAGGTTTCAGCATCGCAGACAAGAAGCACAGGATGGGCTGCACTAGGTCCAAACACCGAATCAGCAAAGAGGAGGCCCTGTGCTGGTTCCAGCAGAAGTATGGTAGGATCATCCTCCCTGGAAAATAAATTCCTGTTTCTATCCAAAAGTCCAATAAAATGTTTTCCACAAAGTGTAAAAAAAGAAAAAAAAGAAAGAAAAAAAAAAGAGAGACCTGAACTCATGTATAACTTTCATCGTTTCTCCAAGTTCATAGGGTTTCTGGAGGCAAGCTATTTCAGAAGCGGATGCCACTCCTGCTTCCAAGCTTTAATCTAGGAGCTCCACCAAACACTGTCCACCATGGGTAACCATTATCACATTTGGTACATCAGTGTTACAGTGTTTAGCATCACAGCAACCATGATTTACCTCTGTACCGTACATGGACAGATCAGTACTATGCCACTTATAAGAATGTTTGACCAAAAACAATTAAAACCAGTTAGGGCCCTTTTGTGTGGTGAGACACAGTGGGAAAGCTTTAGCTTATAGAGGTTAAAGTATGCCTTGGTTTTGAAATCTGGTTAGGATTAAAAATACTGTTTTAAAAAACTTTGTTTCCTTGGAATTCTCCTGCCACCAGAAGGAATTCTTCCTGCTCCAGAAAAGAGGGAGTTTTTTCACCTCTAGCCAGAGAGGAGAACCTTCTCCCAACCGAGTGAAATGTGGGATACTCTTCAGGATGGCAGCAGCCTCAACGACTGAACTGGAGAATAGGATGTGAGATGAGATTTTGGGGTGGAGGAAGCCAATGTTGACAAGACTGAGAACTTGGGAACACTCAAAGCCACAAAGCTGGAGGCTGAGGTCCCTGCATACACATTTTGGGAGCTATCTTAACTGTATTCTGTTATTAATCTGAATTAGAACCTTCTAACTCTTTAAAAAACCGTAACCTAAAACAAAAAGACAACAGAACACTGTTTCCTTGTTCTGTTCAGATAGTTGCTTCTTGGTCTATAGGTTTCACATGTACATAAATGAGATTCCCATTCTTCTCAATGTTAACCATAATTTGTTATGATCTACATAATCAAATGTCTTTGCAGGTAAATAAAACACAAATAACCTGGTATTCCCTGATTTCAGTCAAAATCCATTTGACAACCACAATAATATCTTTCATTCCATAGCTTCTTCATCCAGCTTGAATTTATGGCTGATCTCTGTTTTTGAATAATCTTCAGCAAGATTTTACTTGCATGGGATATTAATGATATTGTTTGGTAATTTCTGTACTCTGTTGGATCACCTTTTTTTTTTTTTGGAATGGGAACAAATATGGACCTCTTCCAGTCATTTGGCCAGGTATCTA